TCACGGCTACCAAGCTCGCATATGAGACAGTCTGTGTATTTACACAAATGCTCGAATACATGTGAGCGAATGGATTGATGGATTTCCACCGGGAGGGGATGTCCACCTGGTTCCAAATCCACCGCCTATCCACCGGGTTGTTTGACCAGGTGGATAACGAAGCAGGAAGCACTGTCCTCCTCGCCCACAGCCACTTGTTTTCGTCTTCTTTTTGGTCTTCGTCATTTTTGTCAGCCTGGTGCTGGAAGAGGTCGAACGCTTCTCAGGTAGGTCAATACCACTGTATCCAATCTGATCGATGAGTTCCATGTAATTGGACACTGAAACGCAAGTTTACTGGCGCAATGCCTCGTGGCAAGTGTATGTGCCATCTATATGTTGACTCATCCCATTGAAAAGCAATATAATTAGATATCCCATTATTTTTGAAATGATTTCCCACACTATATGACGGTGCAATTCAACGTGCATTCCTAATCATAAGGTCTATAATGAGCAATATACAAAAGGTTTTATGGTCGGGGACGATGCCGACCCCCATATTCACAGAAACACCAAGTTCACAAGCCAAGTTCACTGTGATGCAGACTGAGTGCAAATGAGTGCAACGAGGCTGACTGAATGCAACCGAGTGTATTTTGATGTTTGGCATGCGAACATGCCACAGGGTCTGAAGGGGTTAAAAATATGTCAAAACAGAGAATGTGGAAAACCTCCCAAGCAGCATGCTTACGTAAACAATATATCGATTCTTTGCAAACAAAGTAAATTCCTTGCGATTGCCATGAAAATGACATCACGTTTACGTAAAATTTACGTTCCTATATTTACGTCACCAAAGTGTATGTGTATTTTACATAAACTAGACGTCACTCCATTTGACTTGAAGTACCCTTTCGGAAATGTCCTATAGGAAACATATAGACTTTCTTATAGGTATTTGAAACACGAAAAACCTATAGGGTCTTATAGGTCTCCTGACCTATAGGATTCGGGGACGATTTTTTTGGTTTCGAAACCCAGGCATTACGACGGAAAAGGCGACCAGGGTTACTATTGGAGCAGCATTTTGGTGTAAATCGATTACCGATTAGGGGTTTCCCATGGTTAGGAAACTTGCATTATTAATACCAGTACTACCCAAGTCCGCATTATTTATGGCCCGGACCACGTATGTCGTTGGATTGCGTGTCCACATCCTTCGGTCGAGAGAAGTATTCTTCTTCTCTTAACTTGAGGAAACAGAAGACAGAACCTGCGAGCACGTGTCTTTGCTGAAATTCCATTCGGATAGAGTCTACTTATTCTCGTACATGGTTTTCAAAGGGAATAAGGGCGTATTTCTTGCCTCCATGATTCTATCTGGAAGATGGGGATGACAAGGAAGTGTCCAAGTTTATTGATTGCTACAATGAGGCAAGGCGAGACATTTGGGGATGTACAAAACTCTCTTGTGAGAGATGATATTCATGGGTAAGGGGAGGGCATTTTTGTGTCCTTTGAGAAATGCGAGAACCCAATACCTCCATCTAGTGGCCTAGAGGAGAACTTTAAACGGAACCCCATTGGCCTATAGGTTCTAAAGGGAGACCTATAGGTCCTATAGGGAACCCTATTGGTTCTCTAGGGAACCCTATTGGTTCTCTAGGGAACCCTATAGGCCCTACAGAGAAACTCTTAGGTCCTATAGCGAACCCTACAGGTCCTATAGGGAACTCTATAGGTTCTATAGGGGACTCTATAGTTTCTATAGGGACCTCTATAGGTTCTATCGGGAACCATATAGGTCCCAAACTGAACCCTTTTGGGGCCTATAGGATGCTATTGGAATCCTATGATACATTTCTGTAAAGGACATGATATCAAGTTTATACAAAATTAACGCCACACCATCCATATGAAACTTTAGCTGACAATCCCGCAGTTGCAGTACCAAGATTCCTCACTAGATGGAACCCTTGTTCCCTGCATCCTACAATTACTGTTAAGTTCTGGTTTTCCTGATATATTATCAGATTTTCTTACCATCCTTCTACTTTTTATTATGCAATCCATGAATATATGAAAACATGAAATTATTATATATATATTTTTAAAAATAATATATGACTCAGGGAATCATTAAATGCCGAAGTTAAGCTTTTTATTACACCAGTGCACGTGATTGGGGAAGAGTAGAATCCCAGCCCCACAAGTACTACATCTTCTCTGTCCTAAAAAGAAGAGAGCTCCTTTGATTATCTACACCTTCTCCCGAGGTTCCGGTACGGGAGGTCAGTTTTAGTAGGGAGGGCAGTAGGTCACTTTGGTACTCTTGAGTGCTGGTGAAGATGAGTACTCGTGTACTCGTCCAACCACCCTAGAGTTCTGAAGAACGTAAAGGAATTGGAGTTTCAGTATAACATTTCTCTTTAATGGTACTGATTGACTCTTTAAATACGCATGAATGCCAGGGGGAAATTAACATAAATCTTACGTAAAATGAATGTAAACACGCTCTTTGGGATGCAAACGGGAATGTCAATTTTACGTGAATGCACGTTAATTTTATATTACCGTATGCAAATATATATGTAAATATCACAGAGGTGACATTTCTGCAAACATGTTGACATTATCTTGACAATTGTTTGCGTAAAAATGATATAAAATGGACAAAAAATTTACATTCATTTTACGTAAAATTAACATAAACATGCTGCTTGGGCTTGTGCAAAAAGTCGTTCCAACTAATTATTTTGTCATAAGAAATTTCTCCTGAAAATTGAAAGAAGAAATCGGTTTAGGAACCATTATCATTACGAGGTTCGTCTCATTTCGACTTCTGGAACGTGGCCGAATACATGGCCGTCAGCTTTCACTCGCGGAACGGAAATTTCGATCTCGTCAGATCCCCAACTCCTCGGTTGCCCGATGTCGAGTCTCGATCCCGCCGCAAATCAGAGCTCGACTCTTCCATTAGCGCTGAAACGATTCCTGTGTTCTTGCTTGGATCGTTCGCCGAGCCCCGAGAGGGGGAAGAGCCTAATAAAGGAGGTAAAGCCCTTGAAACGAAGGCTTCCCTTTTCCCACATTCTCCCAAGAAATTCTGAAGGAAAAAACTGACGAAAAAAAAAAGCCCTCATCCCGTCGCCAAAAAACTGCTACAAGAAAAAAGAAAATCTCACCGATTCCTTTACGAAGAAGCGTCTGCCTCCTCTCCACTCAGAAGACGCTGCTCCTCTGCCTTCGACGTCGGGGAATCCGCCCACATGATGGCTGATCCTGGAACTGCAGAAAACCGACCAATGGGAGCGAGGGAATGCTGTGACGTATGAGGAATGGCGGCGTCGTAGTCCCAGTCTTTACCTTCAAGCTTGAGGAATCAGGTGGAACACACGTTCCGTGCAGTGCCGTAGCGAGGGGAGAGCCTCAGCCCCCACCCCACCCCCCTCTTATCCTCTTAGCCCCTACTCAGGCGAAACGTACGAGGCGCGTTTAGAAGTGTTGGGACTGTACTCGCTCAAGAGAAGATTAAGGAGGGGCGATTTCATCCAGGGATTCAAGATAATTAAAGGAATAGGTAATATGGAGTGTGATAGGTTTTTCCAGTTTGATGGCAGCAAGAGAACGAGAGGTCATCAAATTAAGTTGCACAACCCCCAGGTGCGGCTCAGGTCGAGATAGGAATTCTTTCCTTGCCGAGTGCTGAACGCGTGGAATGCGTTAGATGACGAAGTAGTGGTTGCCCCGCGCTGTGACTATCTTTAAGAAGAAACTGCATGCTTTCATGGACAGGCAAAAAGGTGGGGGGCATTGTTGAAGTTTGGGACTAGGCAGTAAGCAACTTGGATACGCTAAGGAAAAGAAAAAAAATCCCAAAGTTTCCATCCAAGCTAAATATACAAAAATATTTAGCCTGAAGAGGATTAGGCCTACCCTAAATTTAAGGAACGCTCGACCTCGACAACTGGTACCGAAATGGTTGCGAAATGCAATTGCCTCCCGATATCACCAACTACCTCGCAACCTAGCCTAGGCCTATCGAATTTTCGTCCACGAAGGTTGCACCGACCCGGGACGGTCGTCAGAATCTCAGCCGCAAACCGGCATCGGGGCCATGGACGTCGCATGGTGATACAGCATGCGCCTTTACCCTTTCGAACTCAACTCATTACGCGACTTATCCCTCGTTAAACCGAATCACTTTTTAATTGTGGAAAGTGAGAAAAACTTTGGATAAAAGAATAACTTATTTTCGTGGAAGATGAGAAAATTGAAATGACGCACGAACAAGAGACATGAGCTCTCGTATTCTTTTGGCAAACTCAAAAAGATCCACCTAGTCGTTGGCACTTCCTTCCTTCCTTCGACGCCAGGGACATCTGGTGGATGCAGCCGTCACTGCGGAGAGGCGACGTCGGTTTCGAGCGAGGGAGCGACCGTTCATCGCGACTGGGGCCGGTGGAGAGGAGTCGAATCCTAAGATGTCGAAAGGAGGTGAAACGCATTCGCATTGCAGTCGGGACACGTGCAGAAGGCACACAAGGTTTTGTAAGATCGCCAAAAAAAATTCTAGGTTGAATCTAGGATGCTTTATTTGGCCGTTCAGGGGCAACAAAATCAGAGGGGGGAAATGGATTCGTGGCGTTGAAGAGTGAAACGAACGTCGTCTCGGACGCCGACAAATGAACTCAGCCCAACGTGGAAGTCTTCTCGGAGTTGATCACCGAGTCCATCCACGACCAAGCAGTTGCAACACATGCCCTTCGGTCTCCGTTGCACACAAATTCGGTCGAAAGTCAGGGAATGCAGGATTTCGCAAGGGATGAGAGCGCCGACGTATGATGCCGCCCTCTCCTGCCATCTTGCGTCGATAACCGCAACCACGTGATAGTCTCGAGGAAAGGGCCCGACTACGCGTGGTTACGTCATCGGGCTGCCGGCCAATGAGAGGCGAGGGTGTGCGACTGCGCTAGATCGCGCGACATAAGATGGCCGCTTCCGTGGAGGGTGAATCGATGAGGTTTGGCGTGTACCAGTCGATAATTCGATCGTGATCGTCCCGAACTTCTTTTTCTGGTCTCGAGTTAGGTCGAGTGAAAGGTGGGAGTAAGATGAGATGGCTTTTTCGAGGTTCATCCTGGTCGTGTGAGTGAAGAACTCGTCTCAAAACATTCTCAGAGCCTACATTTAGGCTAGGCCCAGGCTATGGCCAAGCCCAGATTAAGAAGCTGTGTTGGAGCGATTGCGGGATCTTCGAGGATTTTCGAGCGAAACAGTGGGTCGAATCACAGGATCTCAGGTCTGCGAGAACCGAGTGTGAGCAAAGTGAAGCCGCGTTTGGACGCGACGAAGGTCAGGAAGAGACAACGGGGAATCGTCACGCAAGTGCACGTGAGTTCTTCAACAGCCTAAATATTTGCTCTCTGCTCCTCAGATCGATGTAACCTTATCTGTTTGACATCTTTTGATTGAAAACCGTGCAAGCATTGCTAAGTGCTTGCATCCCGAAGCATTTAAATATATTTAGTACAGTGGGTGCAAGTAGCTTGAGCTAGGCCTAGCTTTCACTTGAAATTTGAAGTAGTGAACATTTTGGTCAGAGTTGTTAGCCATTGAACTGCCAAGATGCATTAGCTATTGGTGAGTGCATGAAACAAGCACAATGAGACCCAACTCCTGGTTGCAAATGTACATCTGGACAAGCTTGTCTATTGTGTCTTGGTTGTGTTGGCCTAGAAACTCTGGGTGTATTCAACAGCTGCATGGACTGAACTTGGGTTCACTCACAGGCCACTGCAATGGGCTCATCCCTTAACTGAGGGCAACCATAAGTCCCCAAAAATGGATTCTGATGTATTTGCAAGCAGTGGAGTCTATGCTAATTAGGACATTCCTAAGATCCAACCATTTACATAACTCAAGTTTCTTGCTTGGCAGGTTTTTAATGTGCCCACAAGATACCTTGTTGATTTTGGAGTAGGGAAGTTTTTATTTTCATGAATTTTTATTTATGCTAGTTGTTTGATCATCCTTGATACCAGGTGCCTGTAAGCGCATTGCACAACTCTGCCCTGAAGGACCTCCCCCAAAAGGGATCTCCTGCAAAGAGCAGAAGGGCCCAGCAGCCACGGAAGAAGTGGAAAAGAAAAAGACAGTTGGGAGGCAATAAAACCACCATGTCACCTGCCTTCATTCATCAACAATTACCTGTAAGCTATCAAATCGTGAAGTTATAGATGATTTTTGTGTAGACTTCCAACCAATGCTGTTGTAAACAAGTGTTTATCAAACTGGTAGTGAGCATTTTGTCATCCATATTATTTGGAGGCATTACATTATGTGAGAAAAGATATAAAATATGGAAAATAACCTTTCTGTGATTCTTCATGAATCAGCAGGCCAAGGATCGGCATGAGAGTGGCGATCGAGGAACTGAGAGTGACAAAGAGAACATAATAGTGCCCACCAGTGGTTCAACAAAGTCGGAATTTCCGGACCTGTTGAGTCCTGAATACCACTGCACTGGAGACATGGCTTCGGACACGTTCGAAGGCTCGGCAGCCATCGCCGAGATTGCCAGTCGCTTCACAGATGAGGATGTTGAAAGACTGAGCTCCATGCTTGGAAACACTATAACAACAGAGAATCCTGCCAATGGTAGATTTGAGTTTCTGACTGGGTAACCTATTTTGTCACGAATTATCAGAATTATCATTATCAGCATTGTTGGTCACCTCTTGGAGAATTTTACAGAACAATTTCTTTCTTACTGTCAGATATACTGACTGTACATTACTGTCAGGTAACCATAGTTGACAATGTCAGATAAGAACTGAATCACATCTCGTGAAGTTAAGCTAAAAAAAAAAAGGCTTTCTATCTTGCTGAAACTCAAAGGGTGACATAGATTTGTCATTCCTCTCATTTTCAGACTTATGTAAGGAACATATGCTCAAAAAACATGCAAATAGATAGAAGAATCAATCTTTTGTCAGATCCAACTCCATGAAAATGAGACATTATTATCATATGACTGTGACTTGATTCTCCAGGATGGACTTCATGTTGGGCATAATTGTGATATCTGTCAGGTGTTGAAGTCCATTCCTTTTCACATCCCTGTGATTTGTATCATCTGACATTCATGTTAAACTTCACTGTAAAGGGAAACTCCCCCCCCCAGACAGTTTTGGATCAACCTCTGGATCCTTTACCATAGTTATTTGAAAATTTTATGTGTAAGGTTTATTCATTTCCCAAGTCTTTGATGTCATCTAAAAACTCGAATTCAATTTTGTCACTTTCCCCCCCCCCCCCCCCCCCAAAAAAAAAAAAAAAAAATGGAGAGTTAATGCTAATTGAACTCTGCACTGGACTCATGTAAAATAATGGTATTATAGTATTATTAGCTTGTAGTGGCTAGTAAGGCTGATTTTTTTACCAAGTGTTTTCTGCATTCATTTCCAGTTGTCTTGCCTGAAGAACCTGAGCAGATCACTCCTGCTGTGGTAAGTATAGCATTTTCAATGCCTATAGTATCTGTATTTTAAAAGCTTCAAGTTATTGAATATTGAATGTATGGCATTTTTAGGAGGACATGTTTCCTTTTCTAAACTGCGAGTGAAATAGAGCGTAATTCTTGATAAAAAGTAGTCATATCTGCACAATTTAGATCTTACGTGAAGAACAAAAGAACACTATGAATGGGACTATTTTTACAGTGCATCAAAGGAATTCTAGCTCAGATACCATTCAAATGATATTTATAGGTTGAGGAGAGCCATAAAGGAGCAGAGGAGGGTGAGTGTGAATGGGAGAACTTTGACCCATATTACTTCATCAAGCACTTGCCACCCTTGACACCTGAAATGCTGTCCCGCTGCCCTGCTCTCCCACTGAAGACAAGGAGCAGTCCTGAATTTTCTCTTGTCCTCGATCTGGTACAGTCACATTTTGTTTTGTTATTTTTCCCTTTTCTTTGATTATGCTAAGAAAGGTGTACTTGTGTGATTAGAAGTGACAAAATTGAATTCGAGTTTTTAGATGACATCAAAGACTTGGGAAATGAATAAACCTTACACATAAAATTTTCAAATAACTATGGTAAAGGATCCAGAGGTTGATCCAAAACTGTCTGGGGGTCTCACTCAAATTCCAAAACTATTCATTCAGAGTCTGATTATTTTATTTTTAAACAACCTGTCATGGCTATGGAACTTGTTATGCCATCCAACCTTTTATGAGCTAAAGAAAGCTAATTGTGGTGCTTCTGGTATGCAGGATGAGACACTAGTCCACTGCAGCCTGACAGAAGTGGACGATGCCACGTTCTCCTTCCCGGTGCTTTTCCAAGATGTAGAGTATCAAGTTTTTGTGCGAACGCGCCCCTACTTCCGGGAGTTCCTCGAGCGGGTCTCCCAATTTTACGAAGTCATCCTTTTCACTGCCTCCAAGAAGGTCTACGCTGACAAGCTCCTCAATCTTCTCGATCCCTACCGCAAGTGGATCAAGTGAGTTTCCTTACTCTTAATGAGTGTCTGAGTGGCACATTTGTATATAACTACTGGTCTTATACTTGACCAGTCATGAAAACATGATATTGTACAGAGATGCTACCCCAGACAATTCACAATTCTGAAAATAGTAATCATCAGTCCTGTACTGGAGTAACTGGTAGAAAAGTAGTTCACTTGTTCATCTTTACAAAATGGAGTAATGATTTTTATGTGATGCACAGGTTTCGGTTATTTCGAGAACACTGTGTTTGTGTGAACGGGAACTACATTAAAGACCTATCCATCCTGGGTCGTGACCTGTCCAAGACGATTATCATTGATAATTCACCGCAAGCATTTGGATATAACCTGGAGAATGGGATCCCCATAGAAAGTTGGTTTGTCAACAAAGATGACCGGGAGCTCCTGAAGCTCCTTCCATTTCTTGAAACAATTGCCACCAAGGTATGTTTAAAAATGACAATTTACTAATTAATTCTGTTCAATAATATTTAAATCCTAGAGTAATCTACAGGAATTTCCTGGCAATGCAGGGATGTTGAACATGCCTTATTTCTGCTGTTCTCTCGCAATTTTTTTTTGCGGGTTCCTCTCCCATTAAGGGAAGGAGGCCACTTTTAGTCTTGTGCACATCTCAATATGTCAGTCAGATGATAATTCAAAAAAGTATTGACATGGTCATCATGAAAATTGTTCCATATGTTTTGGTATATCAACCAGATGGGAGCAAAATGTTAGTGGCAAAGCCCAATTTATTGGAAATATTGCATTTTTAAATTAACACACACAGGGAAGTGAATGAGCAATCACCAGCCTACCTGGAACTCAACCTTAAGGTGCATGCTTGAACACTTGAAATGGATTAGGTTGTCATGTCACCAGTCAGACTTGCCAGTTTTCTTCCTGTCATCACAGCTGACAGATCTATCCATCTTTGAAAACTGAAGAGAGCAGCAGTAATCAGTATCACAGATGCAGTTACTATCTGAACCTGAGGAGTGCTGCGTGTCATACTCTCCTCCCATTTTATTTGAGTAGCCTTGTGAATATTAAAACATATGTATTGTGTTTATTTTCTGAATTATACATTGAAGTTTCAATTGGAATCTTGTGTTTCAGAATGAGGATGTCCGCCCACACATCAGGGAGAAGTTCCACTTGTGGACGTACCTGCCGCCCGACTAAATCCACCGGAATCCCTCCCTCCCCCCTTTTGCAGGCACTGCATTTGTACAGTGAGAACCCATTTTTAATGGTAGTGTAGAGATATTCACAAAGAGTTCCAAAGTCTCTTTTATAATATGAGTGATGGACAAGTTCAGTGATCACCGTTTGGAGATGGTTCAAGGCTGTGTTCTTGCCGCTTCATCCCCGAAAGTGAGCGTGTGTTTTCATGAATCAGAAACGAGCCAGCAATGCAGACTTTGAGGAATTGTATCTCAATGCTGTAGCTCCTCTGATCTGCCTAGAACAAACTCCAAAGTCATGTTGGGAACAAGACAAGAAAAAAAAGTTTTTCTTTTATATCTTGAAATTTATGCAGGAATGAGAGAGTGAGAGAGTTGAGTATGTCTGTGATGCAAGTGTGATGGATTTTCCATCTCCCTCTGTGTCTAACCTGGAGCCAGTCTCCACTGCCGTCAAAAAAAAAAAGCAAAAAAAAAAAAACAAAAAACAAAAAATGCACTGTGCAACGGTACCTGATGTCATTTCTCACACTGCGGCAGGATCCAAGAGCGCCTATTTTGCAAAAAAAAAAGTTACTGTTGTTAACTTAGAAACTTCTTAGTGCAAAAAACTTCCTGCCCACCTCAATCACCAGCAATAAGGGCATTTCCCTGCTACATCTCGATCTCTTTTACTGGTTTTCCCTCTTTTTCTGCTGGGCTTTTTTTTTGCTGTGGGATCTGGGCCTCCTTTGGCTGGGCCATTGTTTGATATATAACAATTCTGAAAGCATGTTATCGGAAGTCCGTTTGCCGGTTCGACGCGAGAAGCAATCTCGTCCCGACGTGGTTTTTTGTTGATTGGTCAGACTTTCATTATTGAATATATAGATTTTAAAATATTCCTTTCCCAATCGCGCATTTGGGAGAGTGCATGCTTGGGCTGCTACTTCGTTACCCCTTGACTTTTTTAGTCCCATTTTCTTGCCTGTTACTGGGATTGGCACCTTAAGATATGGCAGAAATTCTCTGTGGGAGCTCCCACACCCTTCAGGTATTATGTCAACATTTGTAAGTACAAATCACACGATCCTCACAAATGGAGAATTTCAATTCCTTTCTGTCTGATGCAGAAACTTTTCCTTTTGCACATTCTGGTACATTTTTTGCACATCTCCAAGTGTGTCTGCTCGTTTTGCGACCTTTTTCGCCCGACTCGTGGAGATGGCAGAATCCCATAAAGACATGCACGAAACTGGAATTATTAAAACGCAGGGCATTAAGTTTGTACAAGAAATGGCTTTCTCTATGAGGGGGGATGGTACAGAATACTGTGTATTTAGAAATATCTGCCGCATATAACAATTTTTGCAACAGCTGTGAAAAAGGTATCTGGATGTTGTTTTAACTCTACTTAATTGCATGTAGAAGCTCACATTTTCACTTTCATCACTGCTTTGCAAAAACGTGTCTTGGCAGGTATTTTTATGTCTGCAGTACTGTATATCTGTCTTGCCTCTGGGAATGCTGATGGGTTTTTTTGCTCTCCTGTTGAAAGAAATAAATTCTTTGCATCTTCCATGCGGTCTGTCTTTTATTGGTACTCCTGGGAACCAGCCCTTGGTAAATTGGCACAGAGGACCACAATGTGACACCACCAGACAGTGTCGTATTTTGGCTGAAGGTGATTTGGGAGCGAAAACCCCACCCTGGGAGACATCAGGAGAAAACTACTGCAGCCACTTATGGCGGGCGGCCGCCACCCCCCCTCCTTTCCCCGTAAAATACGCCATTGCCCGAAAATAATAGTCTTATTGCAATAAGGAAAAGTTTTTCCGATGGAAGCTTTGGCGTTAAAACTAAAAAATAATGTAAAAGTTGGTTACCACATACTTACAGCCACCTATTTTTTCTTAAGGCGGCTGGGCAACAGAATGGGGAGCGCCAAGCCCCACCAAGGAGAGAAAATGTTTACCTCAATGGGGCGCCAAGTTCTGTCCCAGGGGGCCGGCCCCTCCCCCTGCCCCCATATGAAAAGCAAATGTGTTCTTATGGTTTATCTGAGGCGCCGGAATGTATCGAAAGACAAGGCTGACTGCCACTACACCTGCGAGATTCGTCCCGCGGAGAACCAGCAATGATTGGTGAGCGGAGTGCACAAGCCGATTGCCGCGTCGCAGAACTCGCTCTATTCTACCCCAGTCACTGACATCTAGCGAGGGCTTAGTGAAGCTCTGGCACCTCTCTCCCCTTCACTTCTATTTCTAGGGGGGGGGGAGAGTAACCTTATCACGCTCTGGCTGATGCAATAGATCTAGGAATTTGACCGTGATCTTTTTATAATATGCATTAAGCTCGATCGCCCGGAATTCACCAAGGACATCGAAGACAAACTAAAGAGAGGAAATAGGGCAACTTAAAAGGCACGAAACATCAATCAGTCCTTTCGAACCCTAAAATGCCTCAAAACATTGAATATGAAGGCTAATAATTAATAAAAAGAAAAAGAAGTTCAAACTATATAAAAGCCGAGAAAAAAATGGAATCCTTTACTGACAGCACCAACAAGTAGCAGACGACGCGAAAGGGCGGAGTGTCACTCCGCGCGCCCGCGCTTTTCGCTCACCTCCTTTCAGTGTGTCCTTCAGAGCCTTCCCGTCCGGTCTTCTACGTCTGTTTCGTCTTGCAAGAATGCCAGTGTCTTCAAAGCCGATTTTGCGCTTCGTGAAGCTCACGGAGAACGCCTTCGCTCCGATGAAGGGCTCGGCTCATGCAGCCGGCTATGATCTGCGCAGGTGGGTCCTTATTGGATCCGAACTTAGGCCTATTCCTCAATTTACTCGTCGCGGTAAAATGCGTACCCCACAGGGATATTGTGTTGCCCCCAAAGTTAGACCAGGTCATGTTAGGATGATGGTTATTATGAAAAATAGGAATTCTCATCGATGTTGCTCGTTTCCAGTTGAATTAATCTGGAAATTGTGGGAGTGTATTTTCTCTCAAGTATGCACTCAACCTTATCGTTCTGATTGTACTAATATCGGCATTGCTTATGGCGGTCTTCTTTGGCATAGGCATGTGGCTATGAGAAGATGCTACTCATTGACTTGAAATGAACCACTTGAAGGGTGTATACATTCTAAATGCAATCATTGTAAGAAGCTAAAGTTTGTGACATTGCTAGGTTCTCATCTGTTTGAGGGCCTTGCCCAGCCCATACAAAGCACAAAAAATATTAGGACTCCTAAAATGTATATTGGCCTGATGGTGAATATGAGAAAATGTTCAGTCCTAATGAAAAGGTAGACAGCCCAACTGACTCCTGCATTCTGTTTGAACACCAGAAGCAGCATATTGTCATGCGTAAAAATACCCAGATGCTAGTTTTGGATGCAAGGCCTCACCCATATTCCTTCCAAGAGAGGTATTTTCACACTTTGACTCCCAATGTCAATGTCTCTGCTCTGGATGTTAATGGGGACATTGCATGTAAGCTTTTTCTTGCAATTGAAGGGAAGCAAAGTACTCTGTAAGTGATTAAGATGAATCCCAATTCCACTCAAGATATCAGCAGCACCTTTGCTATAGACTTGTGTAAAAGTTGGCTTGTAGGCTACTGTGGAGGTATCATGCACCTGGCTATATGAAAAGCATTCCTATTGATGTGATATTTGAGAATTAGGTGTCCCAGACACCGCACATTGAAGCACGGGACAACTCACTTTCACTTGCTCTTGGGTCACGTCTGTTGACTTGAGAGCTCTGCACACCATTTATCTCCCCTTTGGATAATTGACATCCCTGTCCATTTGGGAATGGACATGAATTGGCTCCATTAGCCTTCCATGCTTTTAGAAACTTCTCTTTGGAGTTTGAGTATTGAAAGCAAGAATTCTCCTATTAAATCAATGGTTTTTGTGAGCTGAGGGTTCCTTTTATGATTGGGAAGCCTCATCAATGTAGATCTTTAAAAAGATCAAAATTAGGCAGAAATTGGATTGTCAGGTATGAAATGCAATGGTTGAGGCTGTCATTGAACTTCTGTCTCATTATATATCACCACCACAACTGTATGCCCATATGCCACCAAGTTGCTATTAAATTAAATATCTCTGCAAATAAGAAGATCCTCTGTTGTATTCACAATTATCATCAATTTGCCGTTTATTTACTAATATAGTTCATTCATCACCTCCTGTGTGTGATAGGGGCCCAACCCATCATGTCACTATTTTTCAAAATGTGAATGCTCTGGATTGCAGCAGCCTCTGCACAGTCATCAAAAGCAAAAATATTACTGTGCCTCACCTGAAATAATTATAGGGGAAAAAGCAAATACAAGGAAAGCACACAGTCTGCAAAAGTTTCAACTAATTCTCTGTAAACAATTCTTTGCAGTGCATATGATGTCATCGTGCCAGCTACAGGGAAAGCTTTGGTGAAAACAGATCTGCAGATTGCTGTTCCCACTGGGTGCTATGGCAGAGTTGCTCCACGATCTGGATTGGCAGTGAAGAATTTCATTGATGTTGGAGGTGAATGACATTTCAGAAGTGCTCATATCTAGTCAGAGATAACAATTAGCTCTCTTGGTTTACAAGGACTTAGCAGCAATTTGACCATATTGGATTCAAATGTGCTTTATTGTTATAAAAGTAAATTTATTTTCTTAGAAGGCAATACATTCTCTTCAGATTTCCTACATGTAGAATATGCATAGAAAAGTTCAGCTGGACACCAATTTTCTGTATGTGGGAAGAATAGTTGAATGTGGCAAGATTGGTCAACAAGTGGTGATCCACCTAATTGATAGCACTTGAAGTTGATGGATCATTGTGCCTGGTACTGGTCTGAAAGCAATTTCAAATTATTCCTGTTCCAGTTGAGATAATGAATGTAAGGTGTCGCTCTGATTTTAAACAGCATTCAGCAAAAGCAATATATGTTAATTTTTTTTTTTTTTAGCAAAAGGAGATAGATCCTTACTTGAAAAAATGTATGGCATTGGATTAGAAGCTGTGTAAATATAAGTAATAAAACTAATTATATATTTTTGCTTTTCAGCTGGTGTTATTGACTTCGATTACAGGGGGAATGTTGGTGTTGTCCTATTTAACCATGGACAGCAGGATTTCATTGTGAAAAAGGGTGATAGAATTGCTCAACTCTTATGTGAGAAGATTGAATACCCTGAGTTGGAGGAAACCTCTGTAAGTTTGCTTGGCAATTCTTTAAACAAAAGGCTAGTTGATGTTGCAAAAGTGCTGCATTATCTAGAACTGGGATTTCATGCAAGTGCAGAAAAAGTCCTTAAAAACAGAAGTATTCAAAATGGTCAGGGGAAAGGAGGAAAACACGCACCAAGAATTATGCAAACCTAAGTTGAAAATATAAGATAAGGGAAGGTAAATAAAAACAGCTGTACATGTCTCATTAACCCCTTACCATTATTTGACATTGTATTTAGGGCATCAAGTATTAAAACCTTGAAACCTGACATTTTTTGCTAAAAAAGAATATGCCATGGGGTGAGTTAACACATTTCCAATGTAGATTGTGTATTTTGAACTATTTAGTGAGAAAGAGATGAAAATAATGCAACTCCATAAAAACCCAAAGTAAATGCATTTTCGTGTATTTCAAGCACAACTTGGGTTCTTTGAATGATCAGCTCCTTGCCTGAGTTTTTTACATTTTAAAAATTACAAGCCTTTGCATGGAAATCTGATGTGCAGTGATACAACTCCAATTGGTTCTTTTTTTTTTCATGGTCAGAGTTTGGACATCACAGACCGTGGTGATGGTGGGTTTGGATCCACAGGCCAAGACTGATTCCAAATCAAGGCACGACTCCAACTCTTTCAACCTCATGACACTGTGATCTTTTTTTTCCCACTTGTGGCTCTCCAACAGGCATCTGTTGCCATTGTCTCAGAAGATAATACTTCCTTCTTTTTCTTGAATAAAAAATCAAACTGGGATGAAAGGGTTGCTCTCATTTGTGGCAGACCTTGGTTGATCAAGGGTGATTATCACTTCTTTAAATGCTTCTTCTTGATGAAAAACTTGTTCAATGGTATTTCATCATAGAAAATATTTATCTTATCTGGTGTGTCTGTATCAGTGAAGTAAGCAAAATATTTGTTTGCTATTGCTAAGGCAAGCCTTCCCAAGTCAGTTTTGCTATCTAAATTGGAATCTCTGATGACATCAATTGCTCATGTATATTGGTCGAAAATGAAAGCACTTTTAGGCCTATTGGATATAATTTTCTGATTTACTTTAAGTTGTCTATTCATAAATGGGGTGTCTTTATCACCAATTCTGATTCATGTTAACTAGAATGCCTTGAGTCCACTTCTGGCAGCCAACATCAATTCATGACTACCAATTTTACATTCCTCATCAGTTGAGTCTTGTAAATGAATGTTGATGATGCTCCTCTCCTATTTCCAAATGTGATCAGGATGCACTTTTCACAGTCAAATTGATTTTCTCATCCAAACGTATTTAGCTGAATGAAAAGGAAGCAATGTAATAAAGGAAATGAAGAAATTTAATTTTGAAGGAACCCATATATTCATCCCCTGTAATAGGTAGTAGAGAATGGCAATTAAGTGGCATTAATTCCATCATAATCTCAAAAAGGGAAATACAAATGAAATATGCAGATAAGAACCCGAGGTCATGAATATCATGGTGATGAGTATCACATTTTGGAAGCAGGAACAAGCCCAGTGGAAGGGACTCGCTCGATGATTAGTTTCTGCACTTCCTTGAACTTAGGGTGATCCTTGGATCGGATCAATTTAAAGAGAACATTCTCATGGGTTGTGATGAAACATCCTATCTGCTGAAGCCTCTGTCAAGAATGAGAAAAGAGGGATTTTGTATGCAAACATGAACTCATCTTTTGCTAGCAATAGTTATTCTTTTCCTGAAGCTTAACACCTTTTATATCTCTGAAAACCAATTCTAGAGAGGAACCAAAGAATAACAGTGAAGTTGTTAAAAAGATTGCTAAATGCTGATACTTATTTATTTTAGATAGCAGCTAGGTAATAAAGAAACCTCTCATTAAAAAATTGAATTATTGGTAATAATCTAAATTTGTTAAATGCTGACCTGGAATGCTAACATTCGGTCCTCCTGACTTCTGGAAGAAGTTGCATCTGCAACAACATGTACATCATACCCAAGACTCTTGAGGTCTATGGCTGTTTGCTCAACACAGACATGTGCCTGCAAGAAAAGTTGCATGCCAAAAGTTAAAGTCAGCAAGATTTGAACTCATCTAAACCTACATCAGGATCAGTTGTAATCAATGGATACTGTAAATGTTCTAACAGCTTACAACAATGAATACATGTAATTCCGCTAGCTAATATAATAAAGCCTAAAAATTGTTTTCTTAGTATGGTGAAGCTCAAGTGGGGTTTTATCCTATATTAAGTGCTGAAGGTAGCTTAAGGTTTGTCCTCAATTGATCCTGCCATGATTGGCCTAAAATGAATATAGCCCATATTTTCCCTCCAATATGGAAAAACTCTTCTCCCAATGGCTTTGCTTGAAGGTGTGGTTTTAGCACATAGGAAATGTAGGTGGGATACTCATTTCTCACTATTACATATTACCAGGCAGACAAAATGTCATGAGACTATTAACAGCTGGGAGTATGACTTGGGGAGACCTGATCCTGTTCCAAGCAGGAAGTAATTTTCCTATAAAATCATCCTCTTGGTGTGGAAACACCATCTACCAGTTAAAATAGCTATTGAGAGATCTCATACTCATTGAGCATATATGTGGAGATATTGTAACTTGACACGAACTGGATTTTTGAACCTTTAGTAAGACTGATGTCATTCACATTTTAGTCAGAAACTTTACGTGGCTGACGACCCCACCTCTATGCCGAAAAGAACGATGGACTTGGCGCTCCCACCACAAGCCTGCTTCAGCTGGGCCAAAACGGGCTCAACACACATAGAAAATTCCGTTTTCTCCACGACTCCCAGGGCATTTCCCGAGCTAACGTCCAGCTCTGTCACCGTTTTCCCCAGCCCCTTCGGATACTGTTCGGTTGCAATCAGTGGGATCCCTAGCATCTTTGAGGCTTCAACCTGGAATTTGCGGCAGGCTGTGATCAGGAAAGAAGCCGAGGAAACGACATGGGTAGATTTTACTGTAGGCCTACGTGATTCCCACCAGTCTCTTGCTGACGTCGAGGATCTCCTTAAAATGAAGAATCGCCGGAGCGAACTTCTCTTGGAAGTCGCAACAGAAGAAAACCGTGAACGAGGGATCCAGCATCCCGAGGTCGAATCTTTGGGGAATCATTTTGAAAGCCGGGGAAAATCCGGTTGTCGGAGACGGCGAGTGGCCTGGAGGGCACGTGGTGGAATGGGACTCTCGAGGTATGGCATCAGTGTTGTCGAATGTCGCGAACGCTGAACGGCTGATCGCAACACTGCATCTAGCTTTTTTTTTCCCCCTTATCCAATAATGTGGTAACTTGCACAAGTGCACTCGTAGAAACTTTCACATTAACATTCCCAAAACCTTAGTTTTTGCCCCTCTGAGTTTGAGTGATTGCGTCCAGGCACACTGTACACCACCAATGGAGTTTCCACCATAGGCGGAGGTAGGGTAACTTCTCCACCTCCCTGGGATTAGTGGGGGTTCAAAAAATGTAATTAAATTCAACAAAGGGGTTATTTGCATGCATCTACTTGGTTGCTACCGTGACTCCCTGGGATGTGGGAACCAGTATGACTCGACTGATTATATCCCGTTCATCATGGCTGAAGGAGCTTCAGCCTCTCACCTCTTGGAGAATTTTACAGAACAATTTCTTTCTTACTGTCTTTCTTACTAGATATACTGACTGTACATTACTGTCAGGTAACCATAGTTGACAATGTCAGATAAGAACTGAATCACATCTCGTGAAGTTAAGCTAAAAAAAAAAAGGCTTGCTATCTTGCTGAAACTCAAAGGGTGACATAGATTTGTCATTCCTCTCATTTTCAGACTTATGTAAGGAACATATGCTCAAAAAACATGCAAATAGATAGAAGAATCAATCTTTTGTCAGATCCAACTTTCGGCCCCCCTTGCCCCCTTTGCCCCCCCCCCCCCCCCAAAAAAAAAAAAAATTAAGAGCCTGGCTGTGCCACTGCGTCTGTGAGGGTCGTTGGGGTTGGGCTGCCCCACCTGGCAAAAATTCTTCGCGATGCCATTGCGCCATTGAGATTTCTGGCCGATGCGAAGGTCGTCAGAAAGTTCATTTTTCATTCTCTTCGCTTACGTCATGGGGGAAACCGCGAAAAAAAACTCGCGATTTCGAGGGGAAACCGCTCCTCAGGCGTTCGAGCCTGCGCTTCGTTGAAAGATTCGCGGAGATTTGCCGAAAACACCATTTCGCAAAAATCATTATGGCAAAAAAAAAAGAAACCTAAAAACCGGAATCGTGTATTTGCATACATACTGACAGTTCCCAAACCACCGTTTGACAATTCCATCCAAAAAGGCTGTTTGCAAATATGGGGAAAAAAAAAAATCAATTGAAAGTGACGCAAATTTCATTTATTCATATCAATCGTATGAATCGGGGGAAATGACCTCTGAAAATCATCTGAGACAGAAGACTTCCTTCGAATCCACGGATCGTTATGAGAAATTTTGGAATCTCCGAATCTAGATGGCTCGTGCAACAGCAGCTTTGCCACAGTTTAAATTTTTACGACTTAGTCTGCAAATTATTGATGCATTCGCGGGCTATTCAGTCGCTCAAAAGCCTTTTTTAAATAATAAATCATCATCCTGGATCATTTCTTATCTGCCCGAGGTTTTTTTTTTAACAGCAACGAAGGAAGTTTCCTCGGAACTGTCGAGAACGGGCGCGAGCCGAGTTTCGCGGCGGGAAAATTTCCACAAGAGAAGACCGGACCTGCACGAAGCCAAGGGCCTCGAGATTTTTTTTTTCTTACCATTCGATGCGAGCTGGAGATGAAAAAGGCGTGGGCGAGACGTGAAGGGAAGAAATAAAAGACGCCATGCGTTGGATGACCGTATCTGCATGCGTCTCATCTATGCAGAACGCGAAGGCGAGGGTCAGGAACCTCGACAGCGAATGGCGACGGCGCCGGAGGTGAAACCACTGGTTCCGTCCCCTGTCCGTGAGGGGGGAAGCGTTAGTGCGGGCGTGGAAGGTGAGATGTCGCGGCAGTCGAGGCCCGCAGCGCATGGACTTCCTCTCCCCACACACACCTTCCGCCATTTTGATTCCGAACTCCCCTCCGAGTTCTCACCTAATTTTGTCTTTTTTGGGTGCTTGATCGGGTCCGGGCCATGCTCCTGTGTGTACCAGCCACCGGACCGTGTGTTTCTGCATGATTTGGTCGAATATCTCCCGCGTCGAGCGCCGCGTTCCATCGCAGTTTGAATCTGGCCGTCGGGCACGTGGGAGAGGTCGCAAATGACTATGTCCAAACTGTCGTTTCGTGCTCGTGCGCTGGATGCATCCAAGGCGATGCTCCTGTACTTCGCCGAGGAGCTACCGGACCTCCCGGAGGCCTCGATAAACCGGGCCGTGCCTCAAATGCCGACCGGAATGGAAAAGGACGAAGAAAGCGTGAGTTTATTTCCATCTTTTCGGAGTTCCGACCGTGGTCGTCGCCATATTGGGCCGCGGCGGGTACTTGGCGCGAACCCCCTCCCCCCATTTCCTCGTAACCGCTTTTCTGCAGAAAAAAAACCTGGCATTGCCTCCCCTCTTTCATGAGAAAAACAAATCGATACCCAGGCAAGGTCAAAACAGCCTTATTAAAGGCGTAGGCGTGAGGGGGCCTCCGAGAAACGTCGATAAAAGAAGGCCCCGCCCCCAATCGAGTCACATGGCAATGATGCAGCACGTGTAGGCTTATGACTAGGCATGCCCTGATAGGGAGTCTGTGGTTGCGTACCCCGGGCCTGGATTATTAATTAGCTTCAGGTATATTGATGGCATAGCGAAGGCTTCGCGTTGGTCAAATCGATGATTCTTGGGCTTATGCTTTGGCCTGTCTTCTTCAAAAAATTTTTTTTTTCGTCCTGGAGGTTGTGAAGAATATGCATAATTATTGGTCCAACTTTGTCGATGGTTGACTGTTGCTTGCTTCATTTTCATTCTTTAGGTTCAACTGTTCTCATTAACTTTGTTTAATCTTTGCTCAGCCTTGTCACATGGACTTGCCAAAAAATTTGTGTTTATTTTGGCTCCCTACTGGGGGGTAAGCTCAAAGTTTTTGTTGAAGCATTTGCTTTAAAAAATTATGGTGATAATTTATGACTCTACGTATGATCTAATATGCGTTGCATTATTAAGTTTCTTTTTTTCAAAATGAAAAAACTTAGGCACAGCAGTCAAACTCTTATGGTTTTTATGTAATGTTTGAAACTCTTCATAACCCTGTGGAACCATTCCTCATTGCATTCTTTTGGAAAGGAGAGTTTTTTTTACAACCATTTGATGCAATCTAGTTCCAGAATTCTTAATGCCAGTACATTGAGCCCCATAGGTAGTTGATAGGTTTCACCAGGGATGTGTCTCATAATGGGCATAGACGTCAGCATAGCTGGAATGCTTGCTTCCTTTCTGATTGCTTAAATCTAATCAATCCAGGTTTAGTTTAGGATGATATTACTAATTACTGTAGTTGAAAGTGTTGTATCAATAACATTATTATTAAATTGTAACTTACTTTTGAAAGTACCAGTCTTTTTTTGGCATTACCTTCTGCACTGGTAGTAGGCATTTCAATGCCTGTGCAGTGGAAAAAGGATTTCATTTTGAAATAAAATAATTTATAAAGCAAATGTTCTTTTTTTTTTTTTAGTGTTTTCTGTGAATGCCAGGGAGATTGTTAAAAAAAGAAAAAAAAGTTTTCAGTATGGAGTTGGAGGTTGAAGTCTACCTATTCAGCCTTTGCATATTTTTATGTGCTCTTTTTCATATTAACTTTACCAGCCTTTCTCTTTCCCATGCAGGAGCATCACCTTCAGCGTGCGATCTCAGCAAGGCAGAAGTATGGAGAGACTCCAGAAGCTGTCATCCCTGTGCCCGAGGTCCAAGAATGTACAGAAACCTATTACTGGCTTTATTCAGACAATTACAGGATGCCCCGTTCTCTCATTCATGTCCAACGTGAGTTTCCATCTACCACAAAAAAAAGCCACAGCATCCTTGATCTCGTAAGCCTGGACCTTCACAATCAAAGCTGTTTTATCACTCTAAGGTTTTAATTCAGTTGTAATGCGTAGTAGTGAAGTTATGAAACAGTTTGTGTTTGGCTAGAGTTTCTCTCTTTTTTTTTCTTAGTTGAAAAATTAAACATAGCTTGTGACATTTAATTCTTGAACTTTTTATCTTTCTCTCTCAGGATCTATGCTTAGTTACCAAATTGAGGATTCTCAGCAAAGTGTTGGTATTCCAATGAGTCACTACTGGTTGCTATACAGCATTTTCCATGGACCAAGACATCCCGGATTATGACATGGACATGGAGGATGAAGGATGGTTCCAAGAACACAAGAAGAAGTCAGACGTCCCCTTGTCCCGTCTCCAATTTGAGGAGATGATGGACCGGTTGGAGAAAGGCAGTGGGCAGCAGAGCCTCAGTCTCAAGGAGGCTCGCATGCTCCTTAAGGAGGACGATGATCTCATCACAGCTGTCTACGAGTACTGGCTCGCCAAGCGGCAACGCACTGTGAGTTTTCTTGCATAGGCTGTTTTACTTAACTAAGGAGTTCCCAATGATTTCGTGTTAATTTTTTGCACATGAAACCTATTGATATTAATACCTGTTTCAGTTCTTGAAGGAATTTAGCTTGGCATCAAAGTGAGGATTCAGAAACCTAAAGGAAATGGTCAAGTATATGAGGAATATGGCATATCAGCCAATTGATAAGGTGGAATTTAAAAACCATGATTATAACTGTAGTGTTCAGTATTTCTTGCCCTTTTAAAATATGTTTTTTAAGGTTTTGTATATTTATATCACATAGCTCTTGATTCCTTTATTCCCCTGTTTGAGTTGGCCATGGCTAAGGATGTATGTGTATGTGTAGATGTAAGTGTAGCAAGTACTAAAAAAAGATTTTCCAGTACCAACATTTCCCTCTCATCCTTCTTGTTTTCACCAGATCCCTCAGTCTTTTCTTCAGTCTATTTCCGTAGTCATCTGGCTTGTGCTGTAAAAAACACCTCCCATCCATTTCACAGTCTGTATAGTGTTGAAGCCTGCTGTCTAGATAACTGCAAAATTGGTCAAAGCCCTGATTCAAGCAAGCCAGTCCTGGCCTCAAAGCTAAAATTTTTTACTCATTATTCTAAATTTTTCCAGTTTTAATAGTGATTCATAAAAATCATAAATACCAAAAAAGATCTTTACTCTAATAATGGCTGATTGATTTACATGATTACACTTTACTATAATAAGCTGCTGATTGATTTACATGTAATGTTTGGTTGGATGCAGGGCCACCCCTTGATCCCAATGATGAAGCAGGACAAGGGCATGTCAACGTCAGCTGCTTCAGCGAACCCGTACATTGCATTCCGCAAACGCACCGAGAAGATGCAGACCAGGAAGAACCGCAAGAACGACGAGAGTTCTTATGAGAAGATGCTCAAGCTGCGTCGTGACCTGACACGCTCTGTCACTCTCTTAGAAATGGTCAAGCGGCGGGAGAAGCTCAAGCGAGAAAATCTGCATCTCACCATTGAGATCCTTGAAAAGAGGTAAAGAGGTCCAGGTCCATGGGTCCAATCATTGCATAATGAATTTATCTCTGGGCAAAAGCCTTATTGCACCTTACCAATGTTTATTTGAGTTATCATATTAGGATATTATGTTGGAGTTTGCTCCTTGAATTAAAGTTATAAATTGTAGATGTAGATCTCCAAAGCTCATGCTCCAGTGTAGAGCATGCCTGGAACTGTAATTGGACCATGATTTTGTAACCAGTTGGGAATCTAATGAAATTTTAACAGGTGCTATTGGGGAGCAACCTCTCAATTTGATACTGAGCAAGGTAATGCTTCTGGTAATTGGCTGTTTTGATTACCAAGATTATTCCTGAAATTATCCTAATACTCATTCCTTGACAACTGCAAGATTCACTGTAGATTTGAAGTATGTGGTTCATGTCCATTTGAGATATCATGATTTTTCACCAATCTTGCACTCCATGAGAGGTCTTGTTTTATTTTTTTGTTTGCTTGAAGTTATCAAGCCACAATTTCAAAAAGTAAGCTTTAACCATGCATCCTTTGAGTATTGCATGTTTTCCCTTTCTTGCCCCAATGATGAAATTCAATTTCACTAACCTTTTATCCTAATATGGAAGTTTTTATTTGTGAAAGTTCTCCATTCGCATATTCACTCTATGGTAATTTCAGTTCCAGAGATGTGAAGATTGCTGTAAAAAAAAATAGTGAAAGAAATTACATTGAGAAATTTATTTATTTAAATTTCAGGTACCAGGTACAGGACTTTGACGGCCGGGTCCTGAATTCCGTTTCTAGTCAGAAGGCAGTTCGCCCTGTCTTCACGCCCCTTTCCAGCAACTTTGTCAGCAAAAAAGTAAGCATCTTTTCCCTTATGAATCCATCGTGTTTGAGCCGAGGATGCCTTCAATCGCGACGGCTGTTCGCCGGAGCAGGAAGAGACGACGCCAAAGCAGGAGAAGCGGGCGTACAAGAAGCGAAAGCGGAAAGAGTCCGTCGTGGGCGAGGTCCAGGCGCTGTCTTCCATCGGGGAGTTGGCATCTGAAGGGAGTCTGGAGGCTGGCCCAGCTCTCAGGGGCTCCTGCTCGCCGACGCTCTGGGAGGACTCTGACGTCAAATCTCCGTTTCCCTTCCGGCGCAAATCCTCATCCCTTTCATATCATGCTGTGAGTGTGCATCTGACACTGGTTCGTTCTTGCTGGTCCCATTTTTGGCCAGAGTTTATGTGGATTTGTTTACTGTCGTGTTGCATAGTTAGGGTTTTCTTACCCAGTTGCAGAGTGGTGTGCGATGCGCATTGCCTCTAGATGAATTTGATTTGATGTGAGGTGTCAAGTGGGCAGTTATAAGTTCTTACATTTCTGTAGTGAGATATGCTGTATCAATCTGGTCTTCTTGTCAAGATACCAGAGGTTCAATTTTGTGTCAGGTGGTCCAAAGCTGCTTGCATCACATTCTGTAATTTTGCTGTAAGGAAACAGGTGTTGAAAAACTGGTAAATCAAGCATTTCAGCATTCTAAGGTCAAAGTTCCTCAAACATGTCTCCTTAAGTATTTCTGGAGGAGGGAGTTGGAAGAATGACTCCCCCCCCTAAAAAAAAGTCAAAATTTGTTATCAATAATTCATTTCAAACCTTGAAATCAGGTAAGTATTTAAATTCCCTTATCCTGACTCAATTAAGATGTACTCCTCCTCTTAATTTGAAAAATATTCGAATTTCTTTTTTTTATTTAGTGATGAAGTTGATGATGAATCTAGCTTTGGGGTTCCTCCTTGCTCGTTTAGCCTTGTCCAAAAATGCCTTTGACTATTAATATGGGGATGTATTCGATGGCGATCATGGGCCGATGGCTGGTTATGATATACTCGGCATCGGGCGGTGCCGATGCCGATTCCGACAGGAAAACGTGGAGGGGAAGCTAACGAATTCTTATCGAACATACCTCGCCGTTATCGGCTTTCCACGCTAGCTTTGTGTTTTATGACGCAGAATCCTCATAACTTTTTTGCGCGGGGGGGTGGGAGGCGGAAACGCTCGTGAGTTTTATTGGAAAGCAAACTTGCGGCAGGATGCCCAATGCAATCATCTGACGCAGTCGCTGCGGCAGGGAATGGCTTCATCACGTGCAAGTAAAGTGCAGGTGTCCTGCCGAAGCTGATGCAAATCCTATGCAGAAGGGGGGGGGGAGACTCCTGCAGGGTGCCAGCGTTCGATTAGATGCAGGTGTTGGCGCCAAGGAGAGGTTTCTGCGTTGGCATAGGTAATGTATTGATTTTCGCGTCCTGGAAGAGAACAGAACCGGTATGAGTGCGTTTTCTCGGAAATGGAGGGAAAATCCGGCGGCGTACCTTATGCCATCGTTCCGTCTAGGTTTCGGCCACGGAGAGAGATTTTAATCATTTGTGTACTATTTTGATTTATTCATGCCCGTATTTTTTTCAGCGTAAGAGGCTGAAAGCACCTGTCGCTTTCGTCGGAAACGGGGGGGGGGGTCTGTATCGACTTCGGCGGTCAATTCCGTGCGATTTCAAAATTTATAACTTTGCCCTTTGGTAGCTCGTTGTCCAGGTGCAAAAATGATTCTTTCGGGAAATTGTATGCTGTTCTTGGTTCTCCCGTTACGTTTTATTGCTCTGAAAGACTGGCTTTTAATTTTTTAAAGCCCTATTGGTTTAAATTTAACCTAAGTTCGAAATAAATCTCAGTTCGTAAAAGATTCAACAAAGACCCATTTATTGCATGATGATAAGAAGTAGCGCCGCAAATTTCCCTATGCATATTCATTGCCAATGGAATTGGCTTATGAAAATGTACCGTTTAGTTAAACCTAGCCATAAGGATTGCTCTGGTTGGTGCGTAAAAAGTGTGCGATTTCAAGGTAGTGGGTGCTTTCCTAGGACGGTACGCCCTTGCCCTAACACGAACGCAACGCGTCCAGGTGAAGTACTTAAAAGTCCTCGTAGTAGAATTCGAATTTCCAGTAACTTTGTGGCAGAGGTGAGGATTCGGGGGGTTAGCGGATCGGTCGCGAGCGTGCAGCTGCTCACAAAGCGACTGGGGGTTTGCATTTCGCGATGGACGGGGCAATTTCATGCAGTGCCTGGAGTTTCGCTTGTTTTGTAGAGTACGAGAGGGGGGGGGGGGAGATTGGTCTGCTGTTTTTCATCGGTGCACAATAATGACGAGACAGAATTTTTCGGGATCGGACCCGGCTGGATTTGGGCGGTGAAAGGATTTGTTAGCTGTTCGGTGGGTCGATCGGAATGCGTGTGCCTGGATTCCAGCCACGAACAGGCAAGGGTCGGGGGAATTTGCGAAATGCAATTCGCCGAGGAGGGCTTTGGCAAGATTTTAGATCTGTTAGAGTCGGGATTTTGGCTCGTCCATAATTCGTCTTGAAATGTTATCCTCCACGTTTTGGAGGGAATGAGGTATTTATCTGAAGATTTGAAAGCGAAAGTAGTAATTGATAATTAGTGCATTTAAGCTTACTTTTCGGGTTCAGTATCGTTCAGCTCCTGACGGGTCGAGTCTTGAAACGGGCATGGAACATCTTGGAGCCGAGGCATGGTTCTAGGCAGGTTTTAATAATTTGGCGGGTCGCCCACATACGTGTCTGGGATTTGCATCGCCTCCCGCATTCTAAATTCAGCCATCCTTATGAATAAATGAATAAAGTTTTATCCTGCGTTTCTCCTCCTCCCCATGGGGAATCCTCGACCGTTGAGGCAACTTCGTGTTGCTGAGAGAGGCGCACCATTATAAGAAAAAAAAATTGGCGGTGGTTTATATGCACTCGGTTTTGGCGGTCGGGCACGTGTGTGCATCGGCACAGCGAGTCACATAGAGCATCTGTCTCTCCGGGGGGAGTAATGAAAAATCCAATCTCTCGCGAGAAGGAACCGTGAGGCTGGGGGGGAGGGGGGAGGGGGGGGGGGGGGGGAGGGGGCACGGGCCCTTTCCCCCCCCCTTTTCTGAGGGGGGGGGGGGAGGGGGGGGGGGGGGGGGGGGTGTTTCCTGCTCCTCACGTGCGAGGGCCACGGGACTCCTGGAGTGTCTCCTTAACCGCTTTCTCTTCGATCGAAAAAACAAGTTTTCCTGCTCCCGTTTCTAGCGTTTCTTGGAAATCCCATTGCGCGTTGGATTCGCTCGTGGGTGTGCAGAAGGGAGATGTGATTAAGCTGCGAAGGGCTTTTCATCATCGATTTTTGGATGCGATGAGCGCACGTGTAGTATTTTTCATTCAATTCTTCGTCGCCTTCTTAGGGAAGGGTGGGATCGGGATGGAATCTCAGGGTGGAGAGACGAATATAGATTCGGGGGGCTGCTGGTCGTCGGGGGGGGAAGACGGGAAAATGTGTGGGTTAATGAATGGGTGGGGGGGGGGATTGGAAAGAATGCATGAAGAGGGGAACCCTCTTCTTGCGTTGGGCCTGGCCTGACAAATCCGGCTCTTCCGATGTCTGTCGGGTTTCATGCTTGGGGGGCGTGGGAACCGGGGAGAGAGCTCTGTGAGGGGAGTGGAGAAGAAATTATTCGGTAGTGAATTCGATAGACTTTAAGAGTCGGAGTCCAGGAGAGTCGGAGAAACAAAGTCGGCAGGCCAATATGTGATATTACTTGCATGTAAAGGAATCGCATTTCTTTTATTGTTTCCGTCAAGCCTGAAGGGAAGGAATGGAGTTGGGGGGGGGGGGGGAATCGATCTTTTACCGCCAAGCCCGAATATGCTCCTTTTCGAACTTTCATCCCTGAGCGCCAGGCCAGGAAAAAAAAAACAAACAAAGTGGTCAAAGGGTTCGTTCAGTTTCAATTATTTCTTGACTCTGTTGACAGTATTAGCGTAAATTCACGGATATTGCTCCTCAACGAAAGGAAATGGTTCGCCCAAGTTATGAACATATTCTGTCCTGGTAAATATTGTTACATTCGCTGCAATTATAGGTCTGCCTTGATATACACTAAGGCAGCGGTTCTCAAACTTTTTACGCTGCGCCCCCCCTAGCCACCCTGGCTCGGCGTCAAGCCCCCTTTCTCTCTGAGGGGAGCACCTATAAATTGCAATCCGTTTCCTATATTTGCAATCATCGCTTGAAAAAAACATCCGTTGGGTAATTTCAACGTTTCGGGGACCAGGTTACAGCTAAGAAACGGAATGTCATTCGCGTAATTTCATGAGAACGACGCTCACATGTTTCCGGGTCCACAAATGATCGAACCTGGACGGTGACAACGGCGCAAACCTCATTTTCAAAGACTTGACAGAGAAATGTCTTCGGAAATTTTACCCTACCCCTTGAACCCAGCTCATGCATCATTGAGTTTCTTCAAGCATTCATTTCAGCATGAATGTATCGTCCGTGCACCCTTTCTGTCTGAAGCTATTCAAGTTACAGCCCGAAGGGACGCACGATTCATTTGTCATCTTCAGTCGTAGTAAATCGCTGATGGAAATGTACATCCCTTGAAAAAAAAAAAAAGGGATCAAATTTAAACGTCTGCCCCTATGAATTGCTTTCATTTAGTCTTGCACTCCTGGAGAAAGTGCCAGAGAGACCTGAAGGAATGTGACCTTTTTACAGTAAAAAAAAAAGTTTTAGAAATAAAATATTCCATAGTATTTTAAATTGCACATTGTTGTAGATAATAAAAAAGTATCTCCCATGACCTGTGGTCGCGCTCCCCCCCTCTAGGGGTCCCCAGTTTGAGAACCCCTGCACTAAGGTGCAAAAGTCTTTGCCTCTAGTATTTCAAGCATTTTTTCTGGGTGGATGGGATGAATATCAAAACCAATTTTATTCATAGATGAGGCATGGGCAAGGTAGAAAAGTGTCTCTATTAATAGTTGATCCTCTCTCCCTTCGAGTCGATCAAAGCCAAACATCGCGCTTTCATCGACTCGACCGAATGATTTAGGGTGGATTTTTGAACAGAGCGCTATCCGATAATGCAGCTTCTGGAATCTGTCGAGTTCGTCCAGATTTGATGATTTCCGCTTCTCGGTATGCCTTTTGAGGATCGACGTCGGGACCGTTCGACGGCCAGTCGGTCGTTTCGGGTAATTCCTAGAGACGGAACTGCTTCGTCACTCGACTTGTGTGTTTGGGATTGTCGTCTTGCTGCGGTCGCCGGCGTCGACCGAAGTGCCTTCTGGCGATGCGGGGGGAGGTGATCTTGGAGGATTTGAACGTAGGGAGGGTCATCTGTGATTCTCGCGAACGAATGATAGCCGAGCAGGTGGATGACGCTGAAGCTGCCCCAAACCATGATTTTCTGTCTGTTCTTCGGGATTCGCTCGACCTCGCCTCTTGGTTTCTTTCACCATCGACGAATCGTGTGTCTGAAGAGTCGGTAGGAGGTCTCGTCGGTGAATGTCGTTCGGCTCCAGTCGTCGTTCTCGTGTCGAATTGCTCACTGGACGCGCGCATCTTTGTGCTTCTGTGTCAACGTTGGCGTCGCGTGGGGCAAAGCACTCTTGGAGCCCATCCGTTTGAGTTGGCGTTGTACCGTCCGTCGGGACACGTGCCGACTTCAGTCCCGAAGCAACGTTTGCGTCAGTTCTTTCGTCTCGTGGTTTTGTCGAATCCACTGGCCGAGTACCTTGTCGGCGGCGGCGGTGATCGTGCAGGGTCGGCCACTACGGCGTCTGTTCTCCACCGCGCCGTGTTCTTTGATCTTGGCAATATTGCCCTCGACAGTTCGAATGGGGATCTTCGTCAGACGAACAGTCGTGGCAAGAGGTCGATGGCCGTTGTTCCAGAAGTGTAAAATAAATAGTTTATCGCTTCGTTTTCGGCGAAGTAGAATTCCGTTGTCGAGACATTTTCTCCCAACTCAAGAATGTTTACGACGATTTGCAGTTTTCACAGCTGTATATGGACCTTTCCTCACCTTCTAAAGTTGGCTTATGCAAGGGGCAAGGACTTTTGCACCTTAGTGTTTTTAGGACTTATACAGATACCGTGTAGTGTAAGTGGGTCGTGTCTCGGAAAAGGGGCTTTATGACTTTTCATCTACCTAGAGGTACTGGTATTTCATGTTCCTGGCATAAATTGAATTTTATCCTTACAACTAAGTATCAGCTAGCATGTGATTTGTCTTTTTCCTGCAGCAGCTCATATTGGTGGAGTTTAACTTTTGGGCATGGTGTGATATTGAAAATTTGTTTGAAAGAGAACGTAGAGTGGTAGAGGGTTTGAGTATGGATCGGGAATGAAGATTGAATTTCCTTTTTCGTAATAATCACAAGCAAGATTGTTTTAACTAATTTATTTATGGATAGATACGAGAAGAAACAATTTGTGTATCAAGGCTGCATTAGCCTGCTTCTTTGCTCATCGTCAAATAAGGACAAATAGTATGGCTCATTGATATCTATTATCTTGGGAGGAAAAAGTATCTGAAATCCAATTTCAGTTAACCCTTTTGCTGTGTAAATTTTGATGAGGTAGTAGAGCCATGGGCAACTGAAGTTGTCTCTTGCAGCAAAAGGGTTTATCATTTGCTGTCAATCTTATATTCTTACATCCCCAGTAATGTTCTGCATTGAATTCCTTTGCAGCCCCTCCCATTGCCCGTGTCAGATGCCTCGGTTCCAAGGGACAAGTGTCATCGCTACTGTCTCACTTCCCTGCAACATCCCAAACAGCGTTGCATCGGATTTGCCAGGCGGAGAGTTGGGCGTGGCGGAAGGTGGATCGCTCTTTTGTTTCCCCTTTCCTACATTGAATTGGCATCAGGAATGAAATTTTTTATGTCGACCAATTTAGGAGTATTGATGAGCAGGTACAATGATCATTTTCATGCAGTAATCCAGTTCATCAATGGGGAGAGAAGGAACAGGTGACAGGAAATGGAAATGTAAACCTGAGTGCATAATTACTGTATTCAGCTGCTCCCCTGTGCAGTTCTTACTGTGAAGCATGAATAGGACTGTTCAAAGGGATCAAGCACAGCTCTGAGATGGAATTGGAATTTCCACATTTTAGGCTGATCACATTGAAATTAATCTGTCACCTTTGAGTGTCTATGACGTTCTAAGTGTCAGCACTCAAGGATGATGAGTAGTGTATGTCGTTTGGCTACATTTGGCCCAAAGCCGTCCCTGGGCTTGGAGACTAAACTTCATCTGGTATGAATACATTCTGAGCTGCAATATTCAATGGTGTTTCATGGATGAGATATGGAATCAATACATGGTAAGATGCCTCTCTGAGTCGGATTCTATTTTGGCATCAGAAAATATCTCTGGCTATATCCCTCTGATTGGTCTGTCGAAAATGCATATTATGAATAGCCTTCATAATTCAAAATATCCCAGTTGCAGTACTCCAGGCAAAATAAAGATTAATCATTGCTGATTTTTTTTTCCCAGTGACATAAATATCCATATTTTCCTTTCATATTTAGGGTCCATCTGGATCGGGCCTATACCTCCCTGGATGAGTATTGGGCTGATCTGGGTTTCTCCATATGTGATAATTCCAAGAACGGGTTCATCTCTAATGAGTTCCTCCAGGAAATTCGCAATGAGTGGTGAGTTCTCTGCCAAGACTATTTTGTGGTCTGCAGTGGCACCTTTAATAGTTGGGAGATCATTGGTTTCTCTGCTCCTGAGATTGAGTTTGTGAGGCAGTGTAGTTGTAAGATTTTTTTCTTTGAAGAAAGATTTTAGTCCATGCTATAGAAATCTCATTATTGACTGTTTCTTTTAAGTGCAACATCCAATATTTCCTGTTATTCAGATGAATGCAAGAACCCAAGGACAGGAATGGGCCGATGCTCATGAGTCCTGTAGGGATTTCAATCTGAAAACAGAGCAGTGATTAAGTAATTATTCCAAAAATTTATTAACACTTAGGAAACTTAGCCTGCAGCCATTGAACTCAGTCCTCTGGCTTTCCCTGATAATTTCCTGAGTATTTAAGTGTTTCCTGAGTATCCTTTGCTGTCAGGAAATTCAACCTGAAGCCGTGTTTTCCTTAGTGACAGAGTGTAAGGTAAAGGTTTGATCAAACAATACAATTTTCACTGCTGGAACTCCAGATACAATGATGAGCAATATATTGTACATTCATTTGGAGACTGTATTTTGGAAATTTGACTTTTTCAAGTTGGGCCAAAAAATTCGCTGAATTTATGTAGTGCTAATAAAGCATTTGGAGCTAGAACAATGGTATCACCACAGTATGAGGAGCTCAAAGAGGTGCAGATTCAAGCTATAACCATTACAACTGCAAAGAAGAGAAAGTGGCAGATTTCAGGAACCATCATTCATTGATTTATTTTTTCTGTAGGTTGCATTTCAAGCCAGAGAAACAAAGTGCATCTCGCTCCCCGAGTCCTGGAGGTGATTCCCTCGAACCAAACTTTGTGATCCCCTGTGATGTAACCTGCACCGACTCAGACCTCTTCACCGAGCCGCTTCACATGGACCTGACGGTCCTCCCGCTTTCGCTTTCGTGTGGGCCAGTGTTGTGCGATGCAGATGATGGGGCAGACCAAGACAAGGAGAAGGCAGAGGGGGAGGAGGAGAGAAAGGGATCTGGTGGATTGAGGGATGGAGGGAAGCTTCCTGAAGTGGAGAGGCAGCCAACACTGAACGGGCCCGCTACGGTGGACATGACAGAATCGTCATCATATTCCATTCCAGTGGTGACCCCACAACTGCCCGACGTGATCTTGTCTCATTCTGTGCCGTCTTCCAAGCCCCTGGCCAGCATCACTGCACGACTACCTGACTGCAAACCTCTTGCTTTCATTCCATCTGACCAAAAACTTGTGAAAAGGTGAGGGACCATGTTCGTTTGGTGCCTCTTACCATGGTCTATGCATCCCCTGGTTTTACATCTCCTTGCCCCTCTGTATTACCATGCTTGCATAAGGAATGCTACTTCCTGCAGGTGTCATGCTCATTGCAGTGCCTCAATTGCAATGATGAACAGTTGTCAGCATGCAGCTTTACTGTATATTTAATCTAAAGCACCAAATTCTTTTTTTTTTGTGGTAGTGGGGGTAAAACAAGCTTACAACCTTTTCATGGTGTTTCATCATTGTTCATCATTTGGCTATTTTTTCAGGACATGGATTTCTTGGGCTGGGGCGAGGGTAGTCTGATGGCTGTTCCTTGCATTTCCCTATTTCTGTGGCCTTTGTATTTTCCATGCTGAACAACCTCTTTTTGCAGTACTGTGATGCATGCCTTTGAAGTTCCCACCAAACTTCATGCCTCCTCAACTTCAGCATGATATTTCATGATATTTTCCTTCATTTGCTCCTGCAGCTTCGTTTAACCCTAAATTCCATGATGCCCCCTTTCTTTTTCCTTTTTCATAATTTTGTCTGATGCCTCCTTTCTCCACCTTGTTTTTCAATCAGACTATGCCAGATGTCTGACATGCTAACACTGCATGTTGAAACATGATTTCTTTGGCTTATGGACCTCCAATGAAGAAGTGCTTTTTGTGATTTTTACTTTGAGGAACACCACAATTATGACTTTATGACTTTGCATATTTGCATTAGTTAACATGTGAATAAGAGATAAGAGAAGGCAGCCAGGCTATGAAGGCATCCAAGTGCAAGATAATCCAGCTGAAAGACATCTAGTATAACTGATAGCAATGGGGACTAGGACAAATCAGCCCTTGATGTAATTAGAGCAAAACAAACAGGGACTGTAAGCCAATAGCAAGCTTGAGCATGGAGTTATTGCTATGAAATGTATTTGGCATGTTATTGCTACTTAGTCACATCAGAACTTGAGGGATTACCGTCAATGATGCTTTCTTTTCTCAATCCAGTAGATAGAAACCAAGATGGAGATTTGATTTATTCCTCATAGGTAGCTTTCTGGAAGGTATTTCTAATGTGAATTTCAGTTGGATAAAATACCTAGGAGAAGCTACATCAGGTCATGTTACCCCATTGCTCAAGAGGATCAATCAGTACTTAATTATTTGGTGCTAGTCCAAATTAGAATGCAATAGACATGGATATGCATGAAATCCATTCAGTTAAATGCTTTCAAACGTATCTTGCAAGTCCTATGAGAATCCATTTACCCAGTATAGTGAGAAGTTAGAGTTTGCAATAATTTGAAAATAATTTGTCCTTTTTGCAAATATTTAGGCTTCATCACATCACTGCTCATCCCAAACATGGGGAAAGTTGACCTTGTTTCTGAAAAGGTTATGGGTCTAAGTACTAAGTATTTTAGTCCAATTCATGTACATTCTAACAATGACAGTTCACTCTTCATAACTGCTCAACTGAGTGAAGCAGTTGAGACTGAATTGGTGTTGTTTCTATAGAAACTCATTTAAGGGGGCAGTATACATAAATTTAGCATATATATATATATATATATTTATTTATGTATTTATTATTTTTTAGATTTTTATTTTTATTGTGTCAATTATCCGATCCAATGGTCATTTTCTTATAATCTGTCTGGGTAAAAATGAAAGAGACTGTAAGAGAACATATTGTGAACATTGTCAGTAGGCTATAGTTAATGATTTTCTCTGTTTCATGCTTTCTATGGTGTCCACATATGCCCCCTATGCTTTTCTTTGTAATGCCTCATACTATTGACTTCAAATTTTACTTGCTAGTAGAGGTTTGTATGGGCTTCAATCCTGTGGAATGAAGTGCCAGTGGGAGGTTTAGTTCCTGAGATATGGCCCAATAACTTTTTTGCCAACTAAGTAGAGGTGGTAAAAGTATGAAACAGTTGCCATGGCAACATAAGTGAATATATTCAAAAGTTAACAACATAGGTTTGTACACCATTCCAACAGTAATGTATCCTGAAGGTTTCAAAAATATAGCATCAATAGGGAGAGAAAAACCTGGTGGGGAATTTTTCTGTGGGTGCAACCAATTTTGTACCTTTTGACCTCTGACCCCTCCCAGTTAGGTCATTATGTGACAATTTTCAAAGCCTGTCTTTGAATTCAGTTAGTACTCGTCACAAGCTTTCCACTGGTATATATGCAGGTTAGTGTGGAAAGGTATAATACTTTTGGTAAGGGAATTGGGTTGTCATTTGATGTCTTATTGCCCCCTTAAAAATAAAAGAGCTAATTTATATCTGACTTTTTCTAAATTTGAAACAGAGATGGTGTTCAATGATCTCATCCTTGTGTGAATGAAAAATTTCTATGTGGCCCAGCATTGAACTCCATTTTCTCTTTTCAAAGAAACAGAACAGCTGCTCCTGGCCTCTTTTGCACAATTTTCTGTCTGCTTGGTGAAGGCCTCTTTGCAAGGGCCTCACCTTTGTTTCATCTTCTGGGCCGCTCTGATTCCAGCTCATTTCATGAAGCTGTTCCCTCTTTTGGTTGCTAAGTTTTGATTTAATTAATTGTGGGGGGGGGGGGGGAATTC